TAATAGAGAGGTAAAAATTGACATAAAACAACATTTGGGACCGCTCTTTGGGTGGCCGCGGCCGCTTAATAGAGGTGGCCGTTTAATAGAGGGATAGTTTATAGTATTTGTATTACAAAAATGTCGGGACTTCGATATGTGGCCGTTTAATAGAGGGTGGCCGCTTAATGGAGGGCCGCTTAATAGAGGTTCGACTGTAGTATAAAGTTCAGTCAAAACAAGCGTTTTGTCCTCACTATAGTAACTACTATAGTTTTTGCATCTGCGTCAGCTAGTTCTTATAGAATCGTTGCAATTACTACTGTACGAGTATATGATATCCAAATGCTGCCGTGTTCTTATTTTTCAGCTGATCACAAACAGCCATATTGCCGCACGTTGTGTTCCTTACGTCATCCTCGCATCCACTTACTGAAGTTCCAAACTCAATGCACAAGTCACAACTACCGCAGTGGTTTTCATTATTTGCCAGCAAACCAATTCGTATGTTCGTGTACCACCGCCACGCGTAAACCGCGTAATTCATTTGTATATTAAATCCTTCTTTATTACAGTTTTCTTGCAAAGACGAACCATCGATAAGAGACTTCCATGCTTCCTTTCCAACGGTTGTTTTTTTAAAAGTCCCGTCTTCGATCACACTGTGTAACGAGTTTGTGGTGTAGTTTAACACTATCCATTTTGTAGCACCATTGACTTTCATTCCGAGGCATATTTTGTTAAACGGTGTGTTCCAGTAAGAAGCAAGTTTTGTCTGCTTTTCATTCAAACCTTCAAGTCCATCTTCAACTGCGTAGGTTTCCTTGTTTGTCCAGTAAGGAGAGCTGTAGTTGAATTCATTCTGCAAAGCAAAAAGTTTACTCATTTTTCTATATATTATTAATATTGTTTTTCATGCATGCATGTTTACGCATTCGAAGAAATCCCCATCTACTTTCATCAGTAGTGTCCAACCTCCTTGCCCACACCCAGATAATTCAGTCATGTGACAGTAAACTTGTTATTGTTCGAGTGAATCAGTATTTCGCAGTTGGTAAACACCGTTGCTGAGTGACCTATAAAGAGTACGAAGTTATGTGAATTTTAGCAAGACCACATGGTAACATAGTGCATGTAAACTTTAGTCAGACATTTTAGAGTAAGGTATTTGCACCACATTTCCAATAAGCCACTATAAAAATTACTGATTCTTTTGTTTGTTTGCTTAGAGGTGTAGAGGACATTAAACCACAGTTTGATTAAACTAACTTAATTATATTGAATAGTTCTATCAGTTTAATTTAAACTGTTCTTCCTCTTAAAAATTCCCTTTGGAATGTCCAAACATCAATCATACCACGTTAACCACGACATTTCTAATCGAATGTTTTTCATTAAGTTTTTCGTTATGTTACACAGCAATGGTACTGGACTCTGCAGCTCAATTGGTTTGAGCGATGTACCGAAATCGCCAGGCAGCGGATTGGATTCCTGCCAGAGGGCCTATAGTTGCATTTTTCGCAGCTGCTTCTGGTTAGGTCTAACTATAGATGTATAAAATTTACAAGTCGAAATTTCCATCTGCAAAATCCTTCAACGTTGGTGACTCACAAACCTGTTTCTTTGCAGTAGTTCCTTACAAGATGATAATAGTTCTTGATTTGCTAAACAGAGTAAAATGCGAATTCCTTTAAAAACTATTAACCTATGAAGTAATTTTTCAACTGTTATAGCGTGGTATAGATATTAAATTTCTTGATTAAATTAGGCCAACGCTATACAGGGTGTCTCAAAAAACCCCAAAATCATTGAAATTGACGTATTGTTCGATATTCAATGCCCTAGCACTAAGTTAATCCCACGAGTGCATAAAAGATTGACATAACTGCTATAATGAATGGTAATACTCAGCGTAAACTTGTTATGTCAGGCATAAAGTACTATACCCACGAATTTACGAAGCATTTTTAAATTCCCATGAGCAAACAAACGTTCACTTTACAAAGATATTTTAATTTTTTAAAACAAATTAATCACCCTGTCAAAATCCTTTGTGTTACGGCATTGAAATTCGAACAATACGTTATTTCAATGATTTTGGGTTTTTTTGAGACACCCTGTATAGTTGTATAATAAAGAGGGGTTTTTAGATTGCTGTTCATAGACTCAGAGTTGCTGCTCATAAACTCAAGAGTTGCTGCTGATATGCTCATAAGGTCCGAAACTGCATGATGACTTGGTATTTGCCTATAGACGTGTTGCGCGTGAGAAAAATATCGTACCAAAGGGTCTTATGAGCATATGAGTAGCAGTTCTGCATGAGTCTACTCATGCAGATAATTCATGGACACAAAGAGTACCCCCACTCATGCTCGTAAGGCCCATGGGAATTGTATACACAAACATGCCAGCTTTTACATGTGTTTGACGGTCTATAACATACTATCTATATCTAACTGTCTTCCTGATCATAGACCTAACTCCTCTAAAATGTTTCCCTCTGTTTATTTTGTCTATTTCTGTCTATAACGAATTTAACTATACTGTAGCACCAAGAAACGATTTACTTTAGGTGACCTTAATTCTCCTTATATCGCGTATTGTGGTTGTGTATTTCTGTGTTCGCTAGAAGTTCAAATCCATGTGAGGCATGATTATTTAGACACTTAAAAAACAAATAAGCATCTATGATACAATCTATACGTTGTTAAAGAGTGATCCAGCCTAATGTGTTTAATGCGTCTGTTGTCGATGAAAAAAGTGGTCTATATCTAAAACAATCTTGAGGGCTTTGTTCTGGAGTATCTGAAGATTGTTCATTAGCACTGTATTATTGGGAGTACGAGACTGTTATAAAAAGGATTCGTAGCAGGTGTTTAATACTGCCAATTAGACTTAGGCGTTGACCAACCTCGTTCCCAGGCCTGGGAACGAGGTTGGGCGTTGATTGCCTTTAGCGGAAATGCAATCTATATGTTCTGACCAGGTACTGAAGTTGGCTGTAATGGTGACTCCTAAGTACTTGAAATTGCTGGCGTTGAGACTTCAGTGTTGTTGACAGAGACAGAGATCGAAGATATATTGCATAACTTCCTATCACTGCCTATAATCGTTGATCGAGTTTTATTTAAATTCAGTGTCAGCTTATTCTCATTTAACCAAATCGCTAACTTAAGTAAATCTTCATTAAGATTTCTTTCAAGATCATTGACATCTGAGGCGTAGCATTATAAGACTTCATCGGCATACAAGGAAACATTGCACTTATTGGTAATATACTGGGCAGATCATTTATGTACACGAGAAAGAGAAGTGGGCCATAAATGCTCCCTGGGAGGACTCCAAAAGTGGCTGGAAGAGTGTGCGACAATTCACTTCCAGGAGACGTTTGTTGCGTCCGATTGCTCAGGTAGGAATAAACCAACCTACGGTGCTAGATGACACACCCATTAAGTTTGTGGAGTTATAAAATGAATAAAAGTATTGGCATTAAAGGACTTGTACGAGCGGTATTCCATTGTTCTAGGGCGAGCCTTTTTCACACCTCATTTTACTAAACAGTACACTAAAGAATGATCACTCAATGATAACGAAACTACACCGGAGTCGACAATACGATGTTGATTATTGACAAAAGCCAAATCAATCAATTGGCTCTGTTATAATTTGAGACAAATACACGGAACGTGCAAAGTTAATACGTTTTTGCTTATTCTGTTTGCAGCCATTATATTGATCGATATTGAAATCACCTAATAAAATCAATTCACATTTATCCAGATCTATCTTAGACAAGCAATCACCAAGTCCCGAGATAAATAGTGCACAATCTTGGTCTGTAGGTCTGTAAATGCAACATATCAGGAGAGGCTTGCAACTCATACGAATGATTTCGACCCATATGCAGTACGAATGAGTACGAGTACGAATGTCGTCGGGTATAATTGATTGAAATGTAAAAATTCATCAAAATGTGTATGCTAACTCCCGTTAACATCTGTTCTAACAGATATCTATACATAATAAATCAAAGATAGGGTTAGAGCAAGTTGTCGTGAATAACTTAATAACATACGAGCCTGTGACATGCATTCATCTGTTTCAGACACTTTAGTGAGAATACATATATGTGACATAACCTTGAAAACATGCATAAAATAACACTAACTTTAAAATGCATGGTGACGTTTTGACGGAGGGTGAACCCCTCTTCTCTATTATACTACTAACGCTGTATACTGTATTGTCGTTAATTATCAAAACAAGATTATCTTAATTTAAAAACTATATTTTTAGCATGACACTTCTTTGTTTTCGATTCTAAAGGTGATCCATTGTGAACTTACTTGTTTGTTGAGTTGTGGAACTTTGTGCTATACAGTATAAAGTGCTATAAAGAAGTTCACATTATGAAAGTTGACTCACTTCAAACGCTGATATTGTTTTTAAAACACGCTATATTGATTGAGTTGTTAAACCTTTTCTCGGATTAATAGATTTTGCTATATAAAGGTCAGGACATTATGTGCAATTTAAGTACATTCAATTGCTATTTATAGTTTGTGAGTTACATCACCCAAAGAATTATTGTCTCAAATTTTTATTGGCCCTAATTTTAGGCCCAGTAAATTTATGGGATAAAAGTTCGCAAATCTTCTGCTGCGCAATGTGTTTCTTACTTGTACATGCAGTCCGTCCTTAATGTATTTGATTTTAAACCTTACTTGATGATGGCTTTTGTGTTTTCTGAGGCGGAGTGCTTGTTGAAACTGGCTCTGGAGGTTTCTAGAAATTAGTAAAGAAAATAACACTGATTTCCTAGCTCTTTGCACCCTGATCATGCATGCAGCTCGTGCATGTGGAACGAGCTAATATCATGTATACTCATAATGAAAAACTTATATATTTTCATGTTTATTCTGTGGTACTTACTTCACTTACACTAATGTACATATGGAATTACATGTACATATTAGTATAAACCTACCAGTAGGCTACCATGTATGTGCGTTTATGGTGCGTTCTGATTGGCTACGCCAATAGTAGCAACAAGCGGCGAAGGGCGCGAGAGAACACCGCTGAAAAATATCTGCGCATGCGTCAACATTACTGAAATCTGTAATGCGAAGGTGGTGTCAAGTGTTTCGAAGGTTGTCAAAAACTCAAAATAGAAACGACAAGGAACGACTTCGATGTTTTGCCTTTTCTATGAAAATGCAAGCGGAATAATGAACGTGACAACCTAAAAACTAGAAAAAATTATAGTCTAGATGTGCAAGAAGTAGTATTAAGCAAAAAAATGAACCTGTCTGTGGTGACTAGTACTGTCGATAATTTTATTGAATAAAACGTTCTTTAACTGAAACATACAAAGAAATTTTTCGTAGGCTCATATATGATCCACATTTATGTCAATAACTTTTTTGCGTAGCTTGTATAATTTTTGCGTTGACTATATATAAGGGTAATGATTTACTCCACAATTTAATCGTGTGCAAATGCATAACCCAGTATGGAATGTAAGTGTTTTGCACCGGACATGTCAAATAGATTTAACAGCAAAAGTTAGTAAAACTTATTTCTGGAAAGTACCTGGAATGTGTAGACCTGAGTGGGGTAGGCTAATTGCCGCTTTGGGTAATATATTCCCTTTTGATCTATGGATCCAGGATCCAATATAACGTAAACTAAATGAAGTACTCTGAAATATTGCTGACCACTTGAAACTTTGAGTTGAATAATATTTCGAAGGCTTTCCGAGAAAAATTGACTTTTCGAGAAAAATGTAAATTTCGATTGTATAATGTTGTTTTCTGACCATCAGGATTGTGTAAAATCTTCCGCTAAAGTGCAGGAAATGGTATTTCAGAGACTTTAAATTTAACTGAAAATTTCTCGGGAGTGCATGTCCGTAGGCCTGCGCTCCCCCCCCCCGCCCCCCGCCTCCCAGGTATCTCGCGCATTTGGAGCTCGTCTCGTGCCTTTGGCAATCGGCACGAGATTTGAAGAAGTGAAAAATTTTGTGTTGCACAAATTTTTGGCCGGTTAGACGAACCAATGATGCACACAAAAATGATCAACTTCCTTGTTCGGTGCATGAAAAAGTTATACATTCCACACTGGTGCATAACTATTCGATATAGTTGTCTTAAACGCGCATGTGCAGAAGTTTTTTCGCGGTGTTTGCGCGAGGATTAATGGCCGTTTTTAAATATTAAAAGCTGCATTTAAAATGACCTAATTTTGGTTCCGGATTACTGAAACAAAGATTCATCGAAACTGCTGACACATACGGTAAAATTTTGAAGTTTTCTCAATTTTGCTCGTAGTTTTGAACATGAAAATGACAGGCGGTTTTTTAAATAGCTACAGTATATGCACATTGTCAATGTTTGTTAATATTCCAAGCAGAATCGTTGAAATTCAACAATAGTTTGTAGCTACTTAGCGGCTTAGCCCTAGCTATTTACTCAACCTTTTTAGCGTATGCTTGTTTTAAGTACGAGTTCATGTATTTAGCTATAATCCTATATATCATTTCAAAGAATTTTTTCTAAACTTTTGTCTATGTATACTAGATGATGGAAATGGTTTGACTCTTTATTTTTCCAGATATTTTAAAGATTAACGACTTCGGATTCTTTTGTGTGCATTTTTAGTTGTCAACAAGGCCGAGTCGAAACTGATGTCGCCAAAGGAAGCCATTGTTTAGCTCATTTCGTTGCAAAAGTTATCATTTTCCATAAAAATCAAGTTAAAAATTCAGTTTGCTTTATGTGGTTTATACTAAAACAATTAGATAACTCAGCCTCGTTGTCTCTGAGCGAATAGTCAACTCGGCTTCGAATTCGTTGTGTATAATTGTTAATTGATACACTTATACGTTACGCATTGTATATAGTACCTGTATTATGTGCTTTAAAACGTTTTTGTTGTACTTTATAATATGTGCATGCAGGTGAATAGAAATAAAGTCATTATTTGCATAACTGCCTTTTATATGATCCCGCCTAGACGGGACGGGAAGTTTTCATCCCGCCTAGACCGGATACTCGCCTAGTGTTTATATGGACAAAATACATTGTCAGGATGAAGCCATTTAAGTGCTTGACGTCATATTTTTGTTGCAATAAAGGCATTTACGCATGCTCAAAAGGGAAAAATTTATCCCGCCTGGCCGGGTGAAGTGTTTATATGGGAATTTTTCGTCCTGGCTAGCCGGGATGAAGTGTTTATATGGGAATTTTTCATCTCGCTCAGGCGGGATCCCGGTATCTGTTGCCGACATCCCGTCTAGGCGGGATAAGTGGCGGGATAATATAAACACTCTTTAGAATTTGTATTACGAGCGGGATCTCGGTAAGCATCCCGTCCCGCCTGGCCGCGATCATATAAACAGGCTCATATGAGAAACATCTGACATTCACGATCAAATATTATCATATAATTATTATTATTATTACATTAACTACTAACTTCTCGACAAAGGGTCTTCGCTCGAAAAGTCGAATTTCGCTTTGTATTTTTCAGGTATAAAAATGATTTGTATCGTTACCAACGAAAACTTGTAATGATGTTATGACTCCTTCGTACTTTAAGCTTCTCTGAATTTATTGTTGTGTAATACAATATATAGTGTATTACATTTATATAGTGTAATACAATATATAGTGGCCATTCACTTACTGAACAACGACTCATACCAAATATTTGAAATATTGTGCGGGAAACCCATTTTCGGCCGGAACCAAATGGATTTTTTTAATCAAACTGAAAACTCGAACTATGTCTGATTGCATGTAGAAATGAAAGGTATACATATATAATAATGCAACAATGGACCATTTGCATTATAGACTAAATTTTGATCGAGACAAGTCTAGACAAAAATTTCATCACAGCTTGAAAGAGCATTACAAAATTAGTAATGTTCCAAAGTTTCGTTGCGAAATGTTGTAAAATGCGGATAATATAGCCTTGCGAATTTGCCGTTTTTCAGTCATTTTGTATTACAAACGGGAAATTGACAGCCCCAAAGGGTATTGGGCTGTCAATTTCCCCCGCGTAATGCAAAATGACTGAAAAACGGTAAATTTCGCAAGGCTATAATTATTATCCGCATTTTACAACATTTCGCAACGAAACTTGGGAATATTACTAATTGTGTGATGCTCTTTCAAGCTGTGTCTGTGATGAAATTTTTGTCTATATCAAAATTTAGTCTATAATGCAAATGGTCCATTTATAGGCAACTACTTTCTTGCTCGCGTGCCATACAACAGTAAAGAATAATGATTAATTTTCTAACCTTTTTTATGACATGAAGGTGGTTGAATTCAAGGTTCGTTTCCTCATAATCTTCAGATGCTTCTTGAAGTGTCTTACTGTTCAGCCCACATAGACCTTTACCGATTCCTGCAGTTTTACAATTGACTGATTGACATGACCCATCTGCAACACAAAGCATACCGCATTCTAACTCGCTCCCTGCCTGTTTTGTTTCCGATCCTTTACGTGATTTGCCAAGTATTTTCCCACTTTTCTGCGAAAGACTGTTTGTTTTGGTGAGCATTCGCCTGGCTGTGTTGGTATACAGACGAAAAGTAACGCGCAAATGCTGAAGTAGATCGTCATTAGTACTTGTTTGTTGGGCAAATGAACTAAGTGCCTTTGAACACTGTGTTATAATTTGCTTTTGTTTATCGAAGGGCAAGGTTTTAATGCTTTAATATCCGGCTAGCCATGAGCAATTTAAAGTGCTTTATCCACTATGATTGGCTAGCTATATAGTTAAATTGGACGTGGTTGGTTGATTTCTGGTCACGTGGATATAGATAAATGCAATGTATCCCGCCTGGCAACAGGTGAAAATTGTTGCCCACTCCGACTGGCTATATCACGTGTATGCGCTCAAAATGAAATCAGTTGTTTAAACAGAGTGTTTTTCCAGTTTACGAAAAGAATATAATCAGAGAAGAAAAAACACTCTACAGGCAACAGGAAATGCTGCTGAAACACTTTTTAGCATGTCTGGATCCGTTTATTGTGAAAAACATTTACATTAAAGACACTGCGTTTTAGTCATTTATATAATTGTTTTGTAAATGCTCTCTATTTTTTTCGGCGCCATATAACAAAACTCTTAATGTCTATTTCTTCCGGAAATAGTTAATTTTGTTTTTCGTCAAATTTTAAGAGGCAGTCCGTGTAAAAACCGACCACTCGAATTTCTTAAGATTACAGATTTCCTTCAAACTCTCTGTGTGGAAGAAGTCATTCATAAAATGAACAAAAAACGTTGACTTTGAAATTGTAGTCAGTTTTAAATTTTTTTTCGCAATTATTTCCGGATGCGTTCGAAAACAAGTTAAAACGTTAATTACGCAAGTGATATTTGAGCTTTTTTATATCTCACAGTTCATCTCGCGCTTTTATTCTAACTTCTTGAAACTTACATATTTTATTATTTCCTGCCTAGGCATAAACCTAAACTAAAAATTATCCTGATCACTTGAAGCAAACGAAATATTGTGTATTTTTAAAAACGTCTTTCAGACAGCGGATTAAATATTCGTGTTAGTATGCTGGCGGTAAATTATTTTTTCTTAAAAGTGCAACGGTATCAGGTATCCAATCTATTGCAGCTACTGAGTATTATGACACATCTACGGTACTACAATAAATAATAAAATCTTTGGGCAGTGTGTTTTTCGCCTGACAAGCGCGTCATGAATATAGTCAATTTTCGACTAATTATAAGCTATAATTTGTTAATGCATTCACTGTTAATTTCGAGGAGTCGAATTGACTCCAAAAGTGGAGTAAATAAAAAAGGTACAGAACGACTCCTTTTTTGGAGTAAATTTTACTCCTTTATTTACTCCATTTTTGGAGTAAATTTTACTCCATAAGTAGAGTTGTTTTTACTCCCAAAGAGTAAAAACAACTCTACTTAAGGAGTAAAATTTACACCAAAAATGGAGTAAATAAAGGAGTAAAATTTACTCCAAAAAAGGAGTCGTTCTGTACCTTTTTTATTTACTCCACTTTTGGAGTCAATTCGACTCCTTTGGAGACAAAATGACTTCTATATATCAGAGTAAAGAAAAGTCTTTAACTAACTTTAGAAATCAATAAAGACATTTTTCGAGTCAAAATAATTTATTATCCCTACAAGTAAGGTATATTATAGCAGGAAATACAATTTGCTGTAGCATAATATAATGATATACTCTTACGCCCCATAATATTTTAATGAAGTTCTAAATTGATTAGAATGATATCATGAATACATGATTAGAATGATATCATGAATACATGTGGAATACAATTACAAGCCTGTCAGCATGAATTGAACCTGCAGTCCTGCAATCTACCGCAGCTCTCTGACCTAAAGAGCCCTTTTTCCAAGAGGTAACCACAAGTTGCTGTATATATACCATGGTGATGTCATTGGTAGTGTATTAAATAAACTGCCCAGGATGACACTAGTATTATATACATGAACTATTTGTTACAGTAGAGCTTGATTGACTCTCAGGGCGATGGACTCTTAGGGCTTCAGGACCCTTGACGGTTAAAAAGCTGATCAGAATCACCTGTAGGGCAGCAGGTTCCATTCCCAGCACAGTACCGGCTATTACATAGTTATCGTTCAAAAAATTTACATTTACAGAAAAGCTTTAACCCATTAAGTGGCAGCACTCTCTCCTTAATGAGCAAAAATTGTCTGACCACATTAGACAGAAAAAATAAAAAAGTAAAGCAAATTGCCACTTAAAGGGTTAATATTCTGTTAAATGTAGAATATTTATAAATAAAATATACTGCATGTATTAAATGTATGTAGTGTCACTTCTCAATCAAACATGTCAAGCAAGTCCATTAGTAAAAATTTAGTACAAAACAAGCTGTATACCACAAGTCGGCAACTCCATCCCTTGCATGGTTTGGTAATTCACAAAAATGCTCTCCAGCAAAAGAATAACATTTTCCAAATAGACCATCAAGTTCTTAGAATGCCATTAATGATTACATATAATACCACTTGTTTAGACAACTTGCCTTCTCCTGGGAAGCTTTTGTTAAATCCATATATTAATGACAATCCCTGGTAAGAAAAATATATATAAGGTTGATATATAACAGCAGCAAATTATTGATTGATGTTTGTGATGTTACTCTGAGTGTGCATCCACACCGGGCAAGCTGAAAAGTTAGTTTGGGCACGGTGGGAATCGAACCTGCTGCCTTTGGGATACTAGTCCAATGCTCTGCCAACTGAGCTACATGGTCAAATCTGTTCGAGTTGATGATATTTCGGAACTGAGTCTAGTTCCTTCGATATCAGTGTACAGACCTAGGTATTCAATGATACAATTATTTTGTGTGTGTTGGTGTCATGTACTCAGGTGAATATATGATGTTTGTGATGTTACTCTCACCAGTAGCGTAGCCAGCCCGACTATTTGGTCCCGCTATGCAAATATTTTCATGTTCATTGACTGTGAAAACAACAATTTCTAAAGAAATAAATAATGATAATAATTTTGAATTTGCATAGCGGGACTAAATTGTCGGGCTGGCTACGCCACTGACTCTCACTGAGGCCCTGTTTACACTATACCGGATTAGCTGGTCACGACATCTTCTTTTGCCGCTACGGAGCAATGGTTAGTAGCAAATGCTTGTTAGTTTGACAGAATTGGCATGTTCATTTGGGTCTCTGAGATTAAAAATCTTCACAGCCTTTCCGCCCTTTCGATACCTACAAAATTTGACCCACTCCAATAGCAATCCGGTATAGTGTAAACGGGGCCTGAGTGTGCATCCACACTGGGCAAGCTGAAAAGTTAGCTTGGCCACGGTGACAGGTTCGATTCCCACTGTGGCCAAGCTAACTTTCCAGCTTGCCCGGTGTGGATGCACACTCACAGTAACATCACAAACATCATATATTCACCTGAGTACATAACACCAACACACACAAAATAAAAATAATTGATTGACTGACAATGAATTTGCTATTTTTGGTTGTTTGCATATACTCATTTAATGTAAGCATGCAATTGAACTAACATCATCCAAATGAATACAACTTTTCTGGTAAAGGGTGTTTAAAATAGAGGTGCATAATTGACCCAAAATTCATTGTCCCAAAATCTTGCTAATGCTAAGCTAGGATTTTCCATATAAATTATATACAATCACCCACGATTTGGCACGGTATTACTCCTGGGCCCAGCTGGGTAAAAAGATCTCTGTGTTCATTTTTGTCAGTTTATACATTTCGAGACTGTCTGCAAAAGTATGAGTGATTGATCACTTGTTGGTTCACTTTATTTGGAAATGTGCTTCTACTATATAACTCAGTCTGGGTGATTTGTATTGGCAAGCCTGTCCATCTAAAGAGGCTCATGTAACCAGACATTCATCCAGGGAAAGCGAGCTATAGGCAGGTTACCTGGGTGGCTCGCCTCTATATAAGCAGCCCCTCACATGTGTTTTAGGCTGACTGATAGCCGATAGGAGGGCTACCATAGCAAGCACATGCCATACACTGGGTAACATTAGATGGGCTATTGCAATGCTGTCAAATGTGACTGCATTTCAAACAGATCACATAGGCTATATATTAAAGTATACATTATTATTTAACACGAAATACAACATACATGTATATTACACAAATAAAGCCCCGTTTACACGAGTAAATTTTATTTGACAAATTTCATGTCAGAGATATTTTGCTCGTGTAGATGATAAATTTGTGACAAATGCATTTGAACAACAAATGCTTTTGATGAAATGAAATTTGTCAAATAAAATTTGCTCGTGTAAACGGGGCTAACAACACATATAAGTAGAGACTGTAGATTAGACTTATGGACTTCTGTTAATACAAATTAATCGAATATTTTTAACTGAACGTCTACATCGGCAAATCGGCGGCGAAGCGACTAAAATACAGGCCTTCGTCTTCGATTTAAAAATATAACTATACAGTATATCAAGTAACTTTCCGCACACAAATAAGTAAATACACAATAAACATACCTTTGAAAACAAATTCCATGTATCTTATTAGGTTTTTGCCGCAGTGGCGTAACCAGAGTCAAAGTTTGTGGGGGGGGGCGAGATCCGAAGGCGTGAGCCATTGTAGGGGGGTCCGGGGGCATGCCCCCCCGGAAAATTTTGAAATCTAGACTCCCGCAAATGCAATTTCCTGCATTTTCCGGGTGAGATTTTGCAGAATAAAGTTGGCATTCTGAGGATTATATATTGCATAAAAGACATGATTTTCCTTGATTTCACAAATGTACCAATCTTCTTTTCTCCCAAATGTAATAAATTGTCAAAGCCATCTATACTGCAGAACTGAAGTTGGGTTATTCTTTTCACTTTATGACCCCTTTATCCCTAGAGAAAAGTGTGTAAAAAGGCTTAAACGAGCATTAGTTGGACATTTTGAGTTCAAATAATGCGAAGTTCTTTTATTCGACAGTGAGACACTGTTCGTTTCTACAATGCTTTTTAAAAGAAATGGGGACTCAGAGTCTGATAAAGTGTAAATTTAAATATTTGAAAGAATAGAGCAATAGTTGAGAGTAAATGTTTAATTTAAAAATCTAAACTAAACCCATTCTTCTTGGGGCCATGTCTACGAACAATTGGACAAGATTGTCCACATCAAGTTGCTCCAACAAGTCGTCTTCGATGGACATCAGCATCAGACTATTCAGTCTTTCCTGCTGCATGGTTGTCCTAAGTCGAGACTTTATCAACTTTAGCTTCGAAAATGTCCTTTCGGCACTTGTTGATGTGAGGGGCAGTGTCAAAGCAATTTTCATCAGCTTTGTTAAATTTCCATGGCATTCGGGTTCAGCTTGCAATGCTTTGAACAGGTCGTCGAAACTGGCTTTTCTCTTCTCTAATTTTGCCTTCTCGAGGATGTTAGCAAGCAGCGACGATGTCTGTAGGGAAAATATTTCGCTCTCTACTTCATCAACATCAAGATCGCATTGGAACCATTGGGCCGCGACAGAAATATGTTTCCAAGCTTCTGGATTGCCTATCCGAGAAGGATTTAAGTATCCGAGACCCATCAAAACTGGTGCGTTATTCTTGTCAAATCGACTTTCAATGGAGCTAACCATAAGATCAAGTACCTAGATTTCGAAAAATACATAGCTGTAAATATTTTTATAAGCGATTGGAATGCATGTTTCCAGAACAAATCATTATTCATATAAGCTACATTATAGTAAAAGGAAATTCTAAACTTGTCTTTCGACGTAAGATGGACTGCTGTGTCAGGATTATCGTCGATCCTCCTAGGAAGTTTGTGGGTACGCTCTTGTCTTGGTTCTTCGATATTCAAGCTGCGACATTTTGTAACAGTAGTTTCCCAAAATTCCTCAAATTTGGGCTCACATCGTAGAGCCTGTACTGTGCTTAGCAGATCAGCAACTTTATCGCAGCCGGTGACGACATCCAAGTCCTCTGACTGCAGCTTATCTGACACTCCCTTACTGAGTAGCAGGACTTTCTTCAGCACCTTAATAAAAATGATCAACTCACATCATTAAATTTTCATTAAAAATAAAAATGAATGAAATATAAATCACGGTACGTTTGTCATCAAAACAGTACCTCCAAAGCCAAAACAAATTCAAAATCACAGACGTTCTGAAACAACCCCTTTGCTTCTGCTGCAATGTGAGCCTTCTTTTCATTTTCTCTGATCTCTTTTAGAGTCGCGATGACAGCTTCGAGTGTGTGGTGAATTGCGGTGATGCTGTCCGCCCGACATGCCCATCTTGTATCAGACAATTTCTTCAGAACGTACTCACGCTTCTTTTTTCCTTCATCATCTGACGCATTCAACTTTCTCTGGTGTTTCAAGTACACAGCATGTCGTTTTGTGCAAGTTTCGATGAACACGTATAGATTTTGCAACGTTCCAAAGAAATCTCTTGCTATACTATTGTTACTCATTGTGTCCACGATGACCAGATTTAAAACATGAGCATAGCAATGTGTGTAAATTGCTGACGGGGAAATCTCTTTGATGCGTGCTTGCAGTCCGGTATGGATTCCAGACACGTTACTTGCACCATCATAACATTGTCCACGCATGTTTGAAAATTCTATCCCACACTGTTGTAATTTCTCTCGGATGGTATGGAAAAGCGCTTCAGCTGTGGTTTCTTCCATAGGTTCTACAGCTAAAAGACGTTCTTCTATCACTCCATTCCAGACATAGCGAACAAGTACAGCTAACTGTTCCGTTTTACTAAGATCTGGTGTCTCATCTGCAATGATTGCATACATCTCGGCTCCTTTGACACGACGTATGATTTCGTCTAATATAGCTGAACCAACCACCTTGATCAACTGATTTTGGATCTCAGGGCTAGTGTATTTAGCGTTTTCTGAAATCGATAAAAAGAAATAATTACAGAATTATCATAATTACGACTTCAGTTTATCTTTATTATTCCTTATTCCATTCTATTATCATGCAGTTTCATATATCCCTATATTCCACCGAAAATTCGTAGTAACCTTAACGTTACTGAACCAGTGAATGATATAGTTACCTGCAGAATTTCGTAAATGATCTTCAATAAGAGAATCAGACTTTGCTATATGTTCAAGAAATTCTTTAAACACCCCTTTGTTTAAAGAATTCTTATCCTCGCGGTGTCCCCTAAATGGTAAATTCAGTTTTCCAAGAAGTCGAACAACATCAATGATCTTACCAATTACAGTTCGGTTCTTTTTTACCTGAAAATAAAAGGATACAATTTTTAAAAAATCCTAACTGTGTTAACTTTATACGCGTCACTCAATTGTTTCTTAGGAATAAACGTATTACCAGGATTACCACCATATCACCGACATTTTTATGCAAAACTGGCGTTTTCACACGCTTACTTCGTCTGTAATGTTGTGCACAGATGGCCTGTCAAAGTTATATATATTTGGCAAATGGCAATACGTACATTTTGTTGACGATATGACTCTTGTCTCTCATTTTCTTCGTCTATTTGATGATGTATTGGCTTCTGGGATTTCCAGTGACGATGAGCTTGAAGTGAATGCTTGTGGCAATCTGACTTCTCGTGCTTTGCGAAGACTTCGCTCTTTTTCCAGTTACTAAAACCAGTTTTGATGAAGGTAGGTTCACTCCTTGACGACGTCTGCATGCAAAGAAGACAAATGTCATTGTTTTACGTTGTCATAATATAAGAAGCGTTTCTTGTATTTTTATAATACATATCAACTATTTGACGATACAGAGAGGATGAATTATAGTTTGTTTGTGGAACTTTTCATACTTTTGCGATAATTAGTAATTATTTAAAACAACAGTATTGAGTATTACACATCGCATTTTGATATATAATTAAACACTACCAGGGCCATGGTCCATGTATAATTGCAAATTAAACGGTACGCATTAAGTGTAAACAACTTAACAAGGTTAGGACTAACTTAGGAAAATAATTAAAGCGCAAATCACACAATTAACTCACCTGTGCGTTGAACACTCTGCAGACGAAACAAAAAGCTTTATCCAACGAGACAGAATACTCTAACCAAGGAAATTTCTCATACCACGATACTAGAAACTTACGATTCCGGTTATCCAAAGGAAAATTTATATCTCTTGGCTGGCAAGGTCCTTTGCTTATAACGTGGTCCCTGGCTTCTCTTCCACTGGGCAAAGGACAGGAAGGTTCGTACTCATAAGACGAAAGATCTTGAGGAACAGAAGCTTCTGCCATTTTTCATGTATACAATAGTCTGCGCTAGTCACGCAAGAAAATTCCGCGCATATTATAATTTACTATTCAGTTTTCGCGATGACATGATTGGATAATACTAAGGAAGTAGACTCGCCCAGATTTAATCTGTTAAGTACTTTTGAGTATGTTAGCTTAAGTAAATTGTTTTGACAGTTATAGTAATTGCTTTTGCGCAGCTTTGCCAATTCAATGGTTTGCGTGTTTTAACACCTTGTATATAAGCATATAAATACCAGCTCAGCGCTCCCAAGAAATAAATGATTATATCAGATTTGCGCACTCGATATTTTTACCCAAACTTGGGTAGCTATAATTTCCATACCTCAACGGCATAATTATATTGTGAGTTTGGATTTCGTTAAACGTACCCCCCACCTCCCCAACTGCTATACGGATTTAGACTTTTCGCGAGAATGGTCTTAGAAGCGATTGGGGGGGCGATCGCCCCCCCCTCGCCCCCCTTGGCTACGCCACTGAAAAACAAATACATTTGGTGACGTTTTAACTTTCTTCAGATCATTATCCAGATTATTTAAAAATTTGTCTGATACGTTTCTGAACTGAATATTTTCCATCATGTTTACAAGATCATCTTCAAAAGCTTTCATTTCATTGATAAACGTGGTTCCGTTTTTGATTTTAATCCAAATTTGTATTGATCTTTCGCGTTTGGTTCATGTAGGTAAAAATGCGCTTTCCATCTCATTCTGGTTACCACATTTTCGATCTTGTCAATAAGCCTTTTCTTGTATTCATCACGAGAAGGTAATCCAATATTCATCAAGGAATAATTAAACCGGATCTGATTCATTTCAAGTATATGTGATTACACATAAACAAGAGTGCACAACCGTATAACAGGTGCTTTGATAATATTAATGAGACCAAATATGATCAAATTTTACAGTGTAGAAAGAGTGCTCAATACCATTTAACAACGTAGAGCAAATAATTAATTTGTTAACTTAAAATATAGTCACAACTCTGAGTTTCACGCTCAATGCGATCTTCAGGCGACAATGTTTAAATCTCGATTAAAAATTCCTGTATGAATACGTGCGAGTTCGTTAGGCTACTTGCGTGATTGTATTGCGTGCGCACGTTCAAATTTTCCCGCCAAGAATTGCTTCCGGTGGCAACACTTTGAGAATAGCTCACATCTCCTGTTCAACAATCTTTTCTTGTCACCTTTAAAATTTCCAGTTTCTCTTGTAGGCATAGGTTGCAACTTTTTGCGCCGCTGCGATAAGGTGATGCTTGCTTCAGAATGGACCACTTGATGTTGAATGTACGTTTCTTGTTTTTCAAGTTCCAAATGTGTTTGGACAGCTCAGTGGATTTAACATAGCTGGTATCTTTGAATGAGGTCTTGTGGTTGTAAAAACGTTTCTTAAACGCGTTTGATGTCATCCCAATATAATCCCGAATTACTCCTGTGTCGTCCGTAACCTCGGCTTTAAAACGAGGAATATAGTTGTTTAAAGATTACACCATTTAATAACTGTTCCCTGATAGGTTATTTCCGCAATCCCGCCAGGATTGGCGTCGCGTCGCGCAAAATATTTAAATCATATCTTCCTACTATAAACTCTCCTCACCAGGAGGGCCTGCACTCAAAACGTCGGGAACTTCCATGAAATCACACTAAAAACGTTTCAGAGGCTTTTGTTACATTAAAAGATCACAAGGAGGACTTTGAAACAAATCCTAAATACCGTCTTATCAACCCAGCAAAGAGTAAACTAGGTAAAATTAGTAAAATCATCCTGGATGACATTAATACACAAATCAGAAACGCCACCGGATTGAACCAGTGGAAAAATTCCTTATCTGTCATTGACTGGTTCAAAAACATCAAGAACAAACCTGGTCACTCCTTCCTTTCGTTCGACGTAGCAGAGTTTTATCCATCTATAACTGAGGAACTTCTTGACAAAGCCATCACTTGGGCTCGCGGGTACGTTAGTATCGATGATAAGCAGATCAAAGTCATCAAACACGCAAGAAAATCGCTTCTGTTCAATGACGGTAAAACCTGGGTCAAACAACAAAACAATCCCTTGTTTGACGTAACCATAGGTAGTTTTGATGGAGCAGAAGTGTGCGAGCTCATAGGCCTGTTTATACTAAATTCCTTGGCAAAGAAATATGGCAAAGACCGCGTCGGCCTTTATCGAGACGATGGTTTAATCCTACTACGAGGTACTTCTGCCCGGCTTGCTGACAAAGCTAGAAAAGATCTCCACCAACTTTTCGATGAGTTTCAATTGAAAATCACCGTAGAAATTACCCACCAATCTGTCAACTTCCTAGATATTACCTTAAATTTAAATGATGAAAGCTACCAACCCTATCGAAAGCCTAACAATGAACCACTTTTCATTGACAGTCATTCAAACCATCCTCCTTCAATTACAAAGCAACTCCCATCTTCTGTGGGCAACCGAATTTCTCAGTTATCATCGAATCAAGAAGCTTTCTCGAAGTCTGCACCTCTTTATGAAGCCGCGCTCCACCGTAGTCATTACCCAACAAATTTACGCTACTCCCCAAATAATAAACAAAAGAATAGAACAAGAACAAGAAATATAATTTGGTTTAACCCACCTTTTAGCAAGAATGTAAGAACAAATGTTGCTAGAAACTTTCTAAACCTGATCGACAAACATTTCCCTGCGTCTAATCCGCTACACAAGATCTTTAACAGAAACTCGGTCAAAGTAAGCTATAGTTGCATGGATAACTGTAAAAGCGTCATCTCCAAACATAACTTCGGTAAACTTTTAAAGAATAAAAGTGATGTAGTAGCATCTACCAAAGAAAACTGTAACTGCATAGAAAGCACTGAATGTCCCTTAAACAATAATTGTCTTACAAAGAGCGTTGTCTATAAAGCCGAGGTTACGGACGACACAGGAGTAATTCGGGATTATATTGGGATGACATCAAACACGTTTAAGAAACGTTTTTACAACCACAAGACCTCATTCAAAGATACCAGCTATGTTAAATCCACTGAGCTGTCCAAACACATTTGGAACTTGAAAAACAAGAAACGTACATTCAACATCAAGTGGTCCATTCTGAAGCAAGCATCACCTTATCGCAGCGGCGCAAAAAGTTGCAACCTATGCCTACAAGAGAAACTGGAAATTTTAAAAGGTAACAAGAAAAGATTGTTGAACAGGAGATGTGAGCTATTCTCAAAGTGTTGCCACCGGAAGCAATTCTTGGCGGGAAAATTTGAACGTGCGCACGCAATACAATCACGCAAGTAGCCTAACGAACTCGCACGTATTCATACAGGAATTTTTAATCGAGATTTAAACATTGTCGCCTGAAGATCGCATTGAGCGTGAAACTCAGAGTTGTGACTATATTTTAAGTTAACAAATTAATTATATATATATATATATATATATATATATATATATATATATATATATATATATATATATATATATATATGATTTCGATATTTTTTGTTGAGTTTTTTTCTCAAGGTCTTGCTTACTTTACCACGTTCTTGAGCACTCTATAGTTCATTGTATAGACTTATGCGCGCCTCGTACTTAGCGAGTGTTGCTGCTTTGTCGAATGTCAAACAAAGACATAAAAATATGAAATCTATTATGCTCGTTATTAATTTAACTAGAGCACTTTTAGTGCAATGATCTAATTGTTTACTTAAACACCTGTAACCTTATTGTTGGTGGCATAATTACCCTTCGTTTCTACCTGTTGTATTATGAATTGCCTAGAGTATATATAACTGGCAGACAACCCTGGTCTTACAATGCTTCTCCTAGGTTTGAAATAGTGTGCGAAGATGGGAAGAAATAGAAGAGGTCGTGGCCGTAGAGGAACGAACCGTACACACGACTATGTAATTTTAATATCAATAATGAATAAAATTCTTTACGTTTACAGTGTGGTTTCCTTCCTTTTAAGTGTCCATCCAGGGTCACATGGCCTGGACACTACGTTTGATCACTATGATCACGTAGTGAGCTCACGAGTGGAAGGAAATAAAGTAAGCAAGACCTTGAGAAAAAACTCAACAAAAAATATCGAAATCATATATATATATATATATATATATATATATATATATATATATATATATATATATATATATATATATATATATATATATATATATATATGTTATTTACCAGCTGCGAGGTCCGGGTGAGAAAAACTGTGCCCGAGGTCTTGAAAACAGCCCGAGCCCGAAGGGCGAGGGAAGTTTTCAAGACCGAGGGCACAGTTTTTCTCACCTGGACCGACGCTACCGGTAGATAACGTGTTTATTTTTTATCAGATGTAAAAATTAAATTCATTAAAATTGCAGTGTTGCTTGCGAACTAATTTGAGATCAGTGCAGTTGTGTATTTTAAAAGCGAGGTTGACAAAAATTGAAAAGTTGAAACACGAATACGAAAACTCGAGAAATCTGGCAAGAAACACACAAAAAGACGTATAGTTCTAGTAAAAGTGTACATGCTTTTTTTCATGAATATGGTAGCAGAAAGCTTTGGAATAAAAACTTTTATGCCTGGCGTTTTGGCTTTGGCAAAATCACTTGCTCCATGCAGACAACTACAGGTTCATGTTCAGATCCGATCAAAATTCAAAAACATATAAAAATGAATCTGTTTTGATTTAATTAATCAACTTTTTTCACTAAAAGAACACTGAAAAAGGTATGTTATTTTTATATTTTTGTATTATTGCTTGTCGTTTCACAATAATATGCTTGAAAAAAGTGTTTTTAAACACAAACGTTTACTTTGTTTACAATATTTGTATCAGTGAAAAATCAAAAATGCATGACACAAATGGGCAGAGAATATACTCGTGACTTGTTTTCACTCCCATATGTTCCTCAAGAAAATTATCTTTTGGTTGATGTTGAGATGCAGTTGCATGTTAGCCTATTCGAAACACTTTGCGATTTACAAGGCTTCGCTGAGAGAGCGGAACAGAAGACGGCATATTAAATTGCCGTTTGAAACGAAACGATCTGGACCCTGGAGCTCTCTTCTTTTGTAGAGTTCTTTACCAAATGAAATAACTGAAATAAATTTCGTACTTTCCAGTTTCCGCCGCCAACAAGAAATGCACACACGATCTGATAAGTGAGACAATTTATTTATATATATATAAATGCTAGCAATATAAATGCTAATGTGGTCGTACGACTTCCCTCACGATTTGAAGTTTGAGACTGGTTTTGTATTGAAATTCGTCCTAATTTGCCTGTTCCGATTTTAGTTGAAAATGAGCACTTGCAAGTTTGGCAATTACTGATTGCGTTGCTTGCCTTTTGGAGTTAAAACACACCCATTTTATACACATTGTTTATGTTCTGAATAAGCAGAGAAAATCCCGCAACATTTTAATGCGAGTTTGTTTGTTAATATTTGGGTGCTGTCATTGTTTTTTTTTAGACAATGACGCGCAAATGGGGCGTGTTATGAAAAGGGGCGTTTTACAAAATACCAGGCCTTGCTTGCAGGTCCACTATCAGTTCCCTTGGGCCTGCACGTGGGCTAAAAACCGGCCCGCTCTGAAAGTCTCCTCAGCCAATCAGATTGCTTCATTTTCACTGATAAAAAATAAATAATTTTAACATACTGCATTTTACTAATATCCTATATTGTATTATTAACCTGGTTGGCTATATTATATTATCATCCCGATTGTTCTATATCAACGTTTAGAAGAATAATGATCTTCTTACTGTATTGTGGCTCTTGAGTATCCGGATACATTTCATTCGGTGGTTGAAAACAATATTATATTTTACCTGTAAAAGAACATTCTACTCCAGCGTCTTGATAATGACTGCAATAATAATGATTTCCCCATCCATTATGATAACAACTTACTAAATTGTCTTCATTTCCAGTACATCTGACATAATTTAACCATATCTGCCCAGTTCCATCAGGAACATCGTTCCCTTGAAGAGCTCTAGCAACATATGGATACCCAAGTTGACGACATACAACCCTAGCATCATTTATATCCCAATAATTGTGACAGATTGTTCCCCATCGTCCATTGTACAGTACTTCCACACGACCAGTGCCATTGGAAATTGATGGTCCTTGTAACCTGACGGACACACCTGTAAATAGTTATTATAATATAGCATTTGTAAATTCTGAACGCTGATTGGCTAAGAGCCGTGTTGATGTAACTCAATGTCAACACGGAAAGGTCGGAAAGTCTCTTTCTTTATATTTCTTTGTGCTATACTATAAAACAAATGTAAAACTTTTTTCCGTATTGATATACAGTTATATCAACACTCGCGGAAATTGGGAAAACTCAAAATTGTGTGAAAACACTCCGCCCTTCGGGTGTCGTGTTTCCACACAATTTCTCGTTTTCCCAATTTCCACTCGTGTTGATATAACTGTATATCAACACGGAAAATGTTTTATATTTGTTAAATATCAATTAGAACAAAAAATAGGTGGAAAGTGGATTAAACATAGTTAATAGAAGATATCCATAATATTGGGGAGCTTTAGATATAGATATCCATAATATCGGGGAGATTTAGCGGCGACTACGAGTACGAAATTCGTCAAGCGAAACGCATGCATGCTGTATGCTTACGCCATCTCGTACTGCCGCGAAGTCGTTGCCATTGCCCATCTGGGGCCGGTTGTATCATGGATTGTAAAATTTTATTTTATTATCCATGGTTGTATCAAAGGCGTTTAGCTCGCTAACCACCGCTTAGCGCTATCCACCGGTTAAATTTTGTCTATCCACCGTGTAAACTTAAACGGTCCCTTAGTTAACCTGCACCGTATAGCACGAGAACGAACGAATATGCAGGTATGCAAATGTTGTTTTGGTCAAAAGCTGAAATCTGATTGGATTGCATAATTAATCTCGTACGCATCGGTCATGACATTTTTTTACAAATTGAAAAGCCCAAGGGAAATAAAAATGTAAAGTTAAGTCAAGACATGCAAGCTGGTTAATATATTTGTAGTACTAAAAAAATTGACACCATTGCAATAATACTCATATAGCATTGTTAAGAACTCAAAACTGAAGCATGAGTCCGAAACGAGTCAGACACATTGATTAATCAGCAAATTAAATTATTTTCCTTGATTTATCGAAAGCATTTGACACAATAAATCACAGGATTCTGATTAAAAAACTGGAACACTACGGAATACGAGGAATATAGCATAAAATTGGTTTGAAAGCTATTTAAATAATGGAAAACAAATTGTTGAATACAACGATGTACGATCAGAGGAATTCACAATAAACAGTGGTGTTCCTCAGGGATCTATTTTAGGACCTTTATTATTTCTCCTGTATATAAATGACATTCAATATTGCAGCGAACTTGTTTCCATGGTATTATTTGCAGATGATACAAGTATACTTCATAGTCACACTTGCCTTAAGACTTTGAATGAAATAATACAAACAGAAATAAATAAAATCACAGATTGGCTTAATGTTAATAAGTTATCAATTAATACGAAAAAAACAAAATTTGTTTTATTCAAATCTCCAAACAAAAGAACAAGTCATGATATCAAACTTTCAATAAATAATGACAATATTAATGAAACAGGTCAAAAGTATAACATTTCTTGGGATTGTAAAGATGAATGTTTGACATAGAAATATCATATAGAACTAGTTTCAAAAAAGATTATCAAAGCTATTGCAATAATTTCCAAAATTCGATACTTCACAAATATTAATTCTCTAAAACTAATTTATTATGCGTTAGTCTATCCATATCTTATCTATGGTTACCTTATTTGGGGGAATAAGTATAAGACACGTATTCAAAAACTTTTCACCATTCAAAAGAAACTTGTAAGATTGATAACGTTTAGTTCTTATTTTGAGCACACTGATCCGATATTTAAGAAACTTAAGATACTCAACATCTACAAAATAAATGAGTATTTAACTAGTTTATTTATGTTCAGATACTACAAAGTACACAATTTACCAGAAATATTTTGTAATTATTTTGTATCCAACAACGAGATACATCATCACAATACCAGAAATGCATCGCTCCTTCACAAGTCTTACAAAAGAACAAATTACACAAAACATTCCCTAGCAAACAAAGGAATCGAAATTTGGAACTGTCTTGCGAAAGACTTCAATTCTTCAAACAAATAAAATCACATTTCGTCTTCAAACGAGAGGTAAAGAAACACTTTCTTCATATCTAATTAACTACCGGAAGTTTATAAATTCTATCAAACTATAGGGAACAACAAATCACCACACGCTTATTTCTATGATTATTGATTACTATGAACATCAAATTGTAATTGTAATTGTATTATTATAATTTACCGTATATATTCGCAAAATTGACTACTGTAATAATTTGACTTTGAACTGGTTTACTTAATTAATTAAAAAACAATTGCAAATATATTTCTAGGGGTCTAAGCAAAAAGCCAAATGCCGGTTTGAAATAGACTCTTAGCCCTCTTCTTCCTTAATATTAGAATTCATGTAAATAAATAAATATTATTGGGCAAAATCAAATAAATAATAATAAATAAATAATAATAATTTATTGCTGCATTGATTGCATTATTAGAGACCTTAAGATTGACGTTTACGGCAAACGTCAAACCGCTAGCGAGGTTCTTGATTTTACAACCCTATTATAATAGCTTTTACACCAGTTTTAAAATATGTTAAACTTATTATACTTGTACTCTTTAGCAATGATTTAAGAAAGCAAATTAACCACTAGTCATGCCATTCACCAAAGCAGTAAATTAAGATTTGGCGTTTGAAGTTGACGTTTGGCGTATAAATTTCATTCTTGAACTGCTACGAGGGCTTGTAGTCGTTAAAGCATGAAATCTATACGCCAAACGTCAACTTCAAACGCCAAATCTTAATTTACTGCTTTGGTGAATGGCATGACTAGTGGTTAATTTGCTTTCTTAAATCATTGCTAAAGAGCACAAGTTTGATAAGTCTAACATATTTCAAAACTGGTGTAAAAGCTATTATAATAGAGTTGTAAAATCAAAAACTTCGCTAGCGGTTTGCCGTTTGCCGTAAACGTCAATCTTAAGGTCTCTATTTACTCCCTGGGCCGGCACCGCTACCGTCACGGTCAATATGGCTTGATATATTTAATATAAACAACAAACGAAAGTTTACGAGTGTTATAACGAGTTTATCTCATAGCCAATAGAAAACGCCTATCATACGAATGAGTACGAGACTGTCGTTCAGTTAATGAGGCTTATATTCGTTCGTTCTCGTGCTACGGTGCAGGTTAACTCTTGAGGCCGTTTAAATCGTTATACGGCGGATAAACTCGGTCTCGGTTTTGAAGATAAAACAATGATTATTTCGGATGAAAGAGCATAGGATAGCTATAGAAATGCACAATCATGTATATAGAGGAGTTATCTTTTTAAATCCAATGAACATGAAAAACTCACTTTTAACTGGCTTGGTCTTGAGGTACACTGAGGTCACTTGCTCACTTGTAATTCCGTGGCTTTGCTATATTTACGCACACCTGGGTCAGTATTTAGACGTTAAGTATACTCTGGCTTTTTCTCCTTATTTTCTTCCATTATATAGTTTGAAAACAAGCAGTAAGACTCCCAATTTTAGCTATTTTAAAACAAACTTTGGAAAGCCGACAAGTATACAAAATAGACAACAAGACGCCGAAAGTCGAACAAATTTTGTTCGCTCGCGTTAATCGCTTTGATCAGCCAATCAAATATAAACTTGGGACAACATGTTTTTAAAATTGTTTTAAACAAAAGTGCAAGATCGAGGAACAAATTTCAAACAGTATAAAACTGAATCAACTGACAAAAGCCCAACACATGCAACTCACAGTTTTTGCTATTGCCTTCGACTCTTCGCATAAGAAGCTAAAAATCTTTAGAGAAATATCCGTAAGTGAATTTACCTGAATGAGAAACTCAGCACAATGTGAAAATGAAAAGTTTGATATAGATGTGCAGCAACGAATGGGCAAGAAAACTCCAAATAAAAACAACAACAATCTTTATTGACGTGATCAAGAAATGTCGTAAACGCCTTTACCATTTTACCCAATTAAAACGAGCAAATATTGGACTTAAGGAATTACTTCAATTTTACAAATCGTGTATAAGACCTATTTTGGAGTATACCTGCCCGGTCCTACACAATAGCCTTACATTGTATTTGTCAAACGACCTAGAATCAGTCCAAAAGCGAGCATTGAAAATAATTCTGCCCCATCATAACTATGAAAACGCTCTGAAATCTACTAACTTGCAACGTCTTAGTGAAAGGAAGAATGATCTACAACGAAATTGTTCCAGAAAATAGTTGCAGATTCATCTCACAGGCTCCATGGCCATCTGCCGCCCCGTTTAGAACATGACACAACATTTGTTTAACATTATATTTAATACTAAACGCTTTAGGAATAGTTTTATAACTTACAATTCATTGAAGATGTAATTTACTAAAAAAATATTACCTATTTCTATATGTATGTATGTATGTATGTATGTATGTATGTATGTATGTATGTATGTATGTATGTATGTATGTATGTATGTATGTATGTATGTATGTATGTATGTATGTATGTATGT